AAGTGCAAATACATAATTCAAAGTGAGAGAAACCAGCTTGAAGAAGCTACATATTTATGACTATATTTACAGATTTCTGCAAAACAAAGCCACAGAAACAGTAAATGATCTAAAAGATTGGTGACTGCCAAGCGATGTTTGGAAACAGGTGAGACGAACAGGTCAGTCGGAACATTTATAGGACAGTGAATGAGAGCAGTGATACTGTATTAGAGGATACATGGCACTATGCACTTCTCAACCAGCATTTGCAAACAAAGAGTAAACTCGAACGTGGGCAATAGCCTTCAGTTCATAATATCAATGAAGTGGCTAGTTATGGGCTTCCACAGCTATAATTACTGCACTTACCAAGTGGAGGCATGAGAACCACAAGTTCAAAACTAACTTGGGCTACTCAGTGAACACTGAGCCAGTCTGGGATACATGGTGAGACGCTCTTTCAAAACAACAACAAAAAATAATACAAATACAAATATTTGTTCATTATTTGTTTGTTTCATGTTAATAGAAGATGAATGATACTAATAGGAGAAAGAGTGATGAGGTTAGATATGACAAGTTTTTATTTTCTTTATAGTTTTCCTATAAACCTAATAAATATTTAAAAAAATAAAATTTATGTGAAAAGTAAGTTTCTTTCCTAAGACCAAGGCTACTTATACCAATAGATTTAGCCTCTGGATCTGACTTCCCCAATTCCGCCTTTGACAACTTTGACCTTTTTTTTGTACATTGACTTCTACAGAAATAGATATTTTCCTTGATTGCCTTGAGGACTTTATAGCCCTTTCTTACCTGGCCAGGCATAAATCTTAGCTAAGGCTTTCCTTTTCAAACTAATCTTGTTGATGAATAGACATGAACATCATGCTAGATTTCAAACTGATTTCAAGGAAGTGACCTCTGCTTTTTGACCACAGATCAGAGGGCACCCAGATGTCACTGTACTTGAGTAAGCAATGACTACCATTCAGGTGCTTGACCCACAATAGCTAAGTCTATTTTTTTTCCTGCCTCTAGCTATAAGCAGGTTTCCTTTGGTTCTAGCAAATCTTGAGATTATTCTTAGCTTGCCTTGACCACGTTGTGGTGATATTGTGTTCCTCAAAATATCGTGTACCTTAATAAACTTATCTGGGGTCAGAGAACAGAAAAGCCACTAGTTAGGCAGTGATAGCACACACCTTTAATCCTAGCATTCCAGAGATAGAAATCCCTCTGGATCTTTGTGAGTTCAAGGCCACATTGGAAAAAGCCAAGCATGGTGACACACACCTTTAATCCCAGAAAGCCAGTCTTTAATCCCAGAGAGTGGTGGTAGAAAGCAGAAAGATATATAAAGCGTGAGGACCAGAAACTAGAAGCATTTGACTGGTTAAGCATATGGCTGGGTAAGCTTCAGGCTTTCCAGCAGCAGTTCAGCTGAGAGCCACTGGGATGAGGACACAGAAGCTTCCAGTCTGAGGAAACAAGACCAGCTGAGAAGCTGACCAGGTAAGGTTAGCTATGGCTTGTTCTGTCTCTCTGATCTACCAGCATGGACCCCAATAACTCATCTCGGGTTTGATTTTATTAATAAGAACTTTTAAGATTCCTGCTACACCAAGTCATTCAGGAAGAATGGCCATGAATTATTAAAGTAGCCAAGAGAAAGAATTCCCATGCTGGCACTCAAAAAAAAAAAAAAAAAAAAAAAAAAAAAAAAAAAAAACCTCTCCACTCTCAACCACTTTACCTGAGCTTTCTTGAGTAAGCTATAACCTCTTATTATTTGAATCTACTGTCTTTTTCAACTATCATTCCCTTTCATCAAACAGCACTTAGGAATGGTATGTGTTTGCTCCTACACATTCTCTTATTCTAGCTGGTTTTAGCATTCTTTCTTTAATCACACTTGTCAACCAGCCTTTACACTGTCCATCCCAGGGGAAGCCAGGCAAGTGAGAGTCACACAGGACTGATGTATGTCCTAGCACTGTCTTCTCAAAGAGCTTGCCTGAATACCAAGTGCTAAGTACGACTTGACTTTATATATATATAAAACTTTACTTTCAAAGCACATATATACTACATCCACTCAGAAGACAAAAATAGCTGATAAAACACAAAGGAAAAAAATATAGAAATCTATCTAAAAAGAGAAACAAATATGCCAGCAAGGAAGCTGCTGAGATCAGTTTTCCATGTTATATGAAACAGTGGCTTTTCAGGTTGTACAGGTTCCAATAGACTCCATTTTATGAAAGTAACTTTATTGTGGGGAGGGGATGAGTATAGCTCCCAGAAACAGCTCCATCTGTCAGATACCATTCGTCCAGTACAGATTGGTAAATGACTAATTGTTCAGAACAGAAAGGGAGACACCTGACAAGTCTACTGGGGTGAATTGAAACTGTGGAAGTCCTTGGGAGTGGAATCATATCAAGAAAAGAGCACCTTGCCTCCTTAATGTAACGGACTGGACATTGCAGTGACATTGTCCCACACAAGCTGCATGCATGAAGGACTGACATGGAGAGTGTGTGTTGTTGACATGGATCAGTGTGTGGCCTGTCTGTCTTTTTGTTCAGAGAATTATGTACAATAGGCAGAGAATATTGAACATAACGTTTCTGGGGAAAACCAAAGGCTTTCTAGTCCCTAAATATGAAAGAACTGTGTCACGTTGGGGTGCTGAATGGACGCAATGGAATATAGGTCATTTATAACACTCTCCATGCAGCTTCAAAGTAAATCTGAAAGGTATACAGCTGTTTGTTTGTCTTTATATTTTAAAAGCTTAAAAGTACAGCCGTTTGTCATAGGGACATGGTTCAACAGATAAAAACACTAGACATGTAGGCCTGATAATGCAAGTTTGATATCTGGAACCCATGAATACCAGACATTTTCACTTGTATATCTGATCAACTTTTGCTGGAGAGATATGAACAAATGCCTATTCATCCCAGATCAGACCAAAGCACAATTATACCAAAGTGCAACTTGGTGAACCAATGCATCTATTGGACTTAAGGCATACAACTGAGGTTTGAAGGGAGCATGGGTGACCCTGTACCAAAAATCCCACTATATAATATGACATATTATAAATGATATTCTCATGGAGTCTGTGCCATAGTGTTCCACTTTCAATTAATCTTCCACTTCCTGTATAGGCTAGCACCTCCCAAGATCGCTTTGAGCTGTGAAATGTAGTAATAGCTGAAATCTCCAGTGAGGGTCTGTAACCCTCTCTTTCATCTGTCAAGGAGTGTCTATGGCTCCATTACCATTACCAGAGACCTGGATACCAGTCTATGGTCTGTTCTAGTTGCTATGGCTACCAAGAACAAAGTCCAAGATGGCAATCATCTTCTCATGCCTAAGGAAAAATACTCCTGTACAATACCATCTATGTAATAACAGTACTCCTACAGACAGATGGGAGACAGAAACAGGAACATTTTCCAGATGCTTTGAGCCAACTAGCTTGGAGCACACAGTGAAACAAAATAGACAAGAAAGACTGTATCTCTGCAAGATAGACAATGATAACTTTCAGAAACGCTGCCCACTAACCCACTCTTCCTAGGAATCCCCACCATACCTTTTAAAATCAATATCAGTCACGTTTACACTGTGCAGAAGAGACTTTTGTAATGAAATACACAATAAGATATGTAAGCCTCCTTATAGAATCAGATTTATTTGTGATCAGCTATATGACTCAGTAATTTCTTAGACATTAATTTTTAGAATTTCTCCTGATTTCTTAGTGGACTGAAGATGACGACTTATAAGAAAAGAGAACAAAAGAGTCAGTCAAAGGACTATGCATTTCAGCTAGATGTGTGAGGCAAGGGCGAACTTGACCTAGCCATGTCAATGGCGGGATGCATTAAGGGGAGAAAAACAGGCACCAGGAAATAGTTTCTAAATCTGATGAAACTCCAGCACCGTCTATTCCAGAAGCACTCAAGTTTCTTCATTTTTATTGAGACAGAATGCCCACACCAATCACCTAGGTCATATCAATTTCTAGTCTCTGCAAACCAAGATGGGTCAATATTTGTAATCCCTTCCTTGTCCCTTAATACAAGCTGAAAAAAAGATGCTAGGGATGAGTAAGATGAAGAAGCTAATTTTTTAAATACAGAATGGCCTTCTTCCATAACCTGATAGCTTCCTTCCAACCATGTTTTCCTCCTACAGCAAAAGTCAAGGTGCTATGTGAAGAGCAGAGTAACATACACCCTGAGTTATGATTAACTTTTCCTTTAGCCCATAAGAGAAAAGTGAGCTCAGCTTGGTAAAAGGCCTTAACTCCTCTGTTATGCATCAAGTAGCTACCGATGGATGTTCTAGTTTATGACCTTCAAGGACAGTCGTAAGTTCAAACGCACTTCTAGACATGAACTTAGGGAATTCTGTAAAAGGCACAGAGTTTAGGGGGAATTTTTAGAATCCAATTCTCTACATCTGGAAATAACTACTTAAAACAAAAATATTAAAAGTTGAATGTGTTTCAAAAATGCATAATAAGTATATCTCTCTACTTTTCATTCTGAGCTACATTAGAAAAACCCAGCAAACCAGACAGAAGAGTTTACAGCACAGATATGTGGAAATCTTCTTCCAAGGCAGGTTTGCAAAGGGCTGAGTCTAGTCCAGGAAGCTTACCAGTAAATGGCAGTGGTCAGAATGATGTTAGATGATTCATGCTAGCCTTGCAGACCTGACTTGCATCTTGCCTCTGATACACACGAACTGTGTGATCTTACACGCTTGTGATTGTGTTTCAGTCACAGGCGCCATAATCCCAGGATCTTAGAAATATTTTCAGTATTTATAAAGTATCTTGGATGCTTCTGTCTCTTCTACGTTAAAAGATGAAATGCCCAGTCCTTTATTAGTGTCACAAATCCACCTCTGCTGTGGTGCACTTTTTCCTTCAGTAAAGCATAAAGGTCCTGGTTGTAGCAGCTGAGATGAATTGACTGTATTTTGTCTTCCAGTAGGAACAACGTGGTTCTGGAATTTTCAACATTGGTAGACAAATAAATGAACAGACTGTGGAGGAGTCCCTACTATTAAATCTACACTGTGGGATTACTGATGTGTTAAACAGGTGAGCACAGAAGCGTTTACGGATGAAAGTATGTGATTATTGGAATTGACTTTAAAGTAATCCTTGAAGAGAGATATATCCAGAGGAAATAGGACTTGCCAGATTTTGACAAGAATTGATGGTTTTGTGGGGGGGGGGCACATAGAAATACTACTTACTATTCTGTCTAGTTTTATTTGTTTTAAATTATCCATAACAAAAAGATTTTTTAACTGTATTTTATGGATCTTGCGTCCACATCCTGGTTTTGTTTTTTTAATATATATCCAGTTAACATTCAGATGTTAAGTCTTCACATTTACTGCAAGCTCCCATAATAGGTTTCAGTTCAAGATACTTAAACACTTATGCTGAGTCACATCCAATCTTGTTTGTTCTTTTGGTTTGTTCTAGGTGGATAACACCTTCCAACAGCCCTGGACATACCACCCATTCAGAAACATAGTTTGTCAGTTAAAGACACTGGTTACTTTAATAGGACAGATCCCACAGCCTGAAGAATTCAGATCATGGTCCCTACAGTTCTTTCCCAGGATAAAATTAAGCAGACTTCCTGTGCTGCAGTTTTTACAGCTCCTACAGTCCTACCTAGTACCTAGCTCCTCCAGACTCTAGCAGGTAGGCTATACTAACACGCTTTGGTGTGGAACTTCTAGCAACCCACTGAAAGGACATGAAAGTCAGATATTCATGATGACTACCTCTATTACTCTTATTTTAAGCTATCGTTTGTAATAAAGCCCTCTCCAGTTTTTTGTTTTGGTTGTTTGGTGGGGTTTTTTGTTGTTGTTTTGGTTTGGTTTTTTGTTTGTTTGTTTCTTTTTTGTTTTGGTTTTTGGTGTTTTTTGTTTTTGTTTTTTTTGGTTTTTGTTTTTTTTTTAGGGCAATATCCCTTCCCTTTCAAGGCTCTGTTTGCTTCCTCTAATGTAATGTATTAGCTTTATCTAATGCTCTCCCATAGCATAGGCCAGTCATGGTTCTCATGGTCGAGGTCCTTTCTCCTAGTAAAGCTCTCTGAATGGTAATTACATTACCATCTAGTTTCACGAAGCAATGGAACTACCAAGACCCTCTGTTTCTTCTTTTTAACATTGAGTAGGGTGCTAAACAATTAAAAGATCTCTGTATTAAAGTAAAATGTGAATTTATCAGGCTTAATCCCTATAGTAGTGATATTATTGCTACTATGGTGACTATCTGTAAGCTCAGATAACAGAATAATATTCAAACAGTCAGGTAAGACCCAAGTCACCTACTCAGATTTTCTTTTTCCCTCACACATATTATATTTAAATTCTGGGGACGAGTCTGGCTATGATCAAAACTCCAGTCTGAATCTCACTGGCCAAATTCCCTGAAAGGCACAACTAAAATTCTCTTTCAGGCCCTGTAAAGCAACCTGTTTACTAAGATGACAAAAGGCAGAGTTTGGATGTTGCCTCTTTGTCATGGCAAAGTTCTTGTAGCAGGTGACTGTCCCCATGCTCCAAATATTAAGACTAATACCACCATCAATGTCAAATCCATTTTTTTCAACTGAAGGAAACCCTGCCTTCTCCACCAAACAACATTGAAAATCTCAGCCCCCCGAAAGTTTTTCATCCAGTCATTCCAAAAGCACTGAGACTTTATGCACAGAAACAGTCCTTACACACATACATGTACATACAAACCATAGTAATTGCACAGTGCTCGATAATTGCTTCAAAACAAGAAACAAAACAAACAAACAAGCAAACAGGGTCATGTTACATAGTGCTGGCTCTCCTGAAACTCTCTGTGTAGACCAGGTTGGTTTGACTCACAGAGATCTATCTGGTTCTGCTTCCTGAGTGCTTGGATTAAAGGTGTGTCACCATGCCCAGCCCAATAAACACTTTTTGACTGAGTTATTATAAAAATTTTTCACTAGAGGTTTGAAAGTGTTATGAACAAAATTTACCACGTAAAATGAGATCGTAGACCTTCAGCAAGTAACTGACTCTGCCTATATGTGAAGCATCTTAGTAGGCCAAGTATGGAGAGCAAAATGGACAAAAAGCTCTTCTCTAAGTGCTTACTCTCTACAGGCTCAAGCAGATGTGCATATGGTGATGTGAAGGCAGGAGTGTGGAACAAAGCTCAGAGCTGATCTCAAGGTATTGCCTGTAATTTCCATTTAAAAAAAGAAAAAAATACCTTTGCAAAATTCCTTGACATTTTCATACATGTATAGGATGAACTATATTCATTTTTGTAAGTGAGGGCACAGTAAAGAAACCACAGAAGTGTCTGGAAGAGTCCAGACCAGAGAGAAAAAAGAAGCAGAGTGGATGTAGTCAGAGCTAGGGAGGAGGAGAAGAGCAATGAATAGCAGGAGAGAGAAGAGTAGAGCATAGTGGACACACACATACCATGAATGGTATCTGGGAGGAGAGAAGCCTGTGGACTGCTACAGCCTGAGAAACATAGTGGGAGAGGAGTGAGGGAGCAGTGGCAGAGAGAAGGACCAGGATGCTAGTGTGGGCTCTGAGGTGTATAACCAGTACATGTGACTAGGGACTGAGGGACCCTAGAGGCCAGCATGGGCTTGAGCTGGGCCTTATGAACTGCCTGAAGCTGAACACATTTTACCTTCTATTGCCCTCTTGCACCCTCCCACTCCTGCACCCCCCCCCACTGAAGCCCTGATGCCCCCCATCAAATGCCCTCCCTCCTTCCTTACCTTGTGTGTAGCCCACTGAATTTAATCACAGTAGCATGCTTGCGTGTGGGCGAGAGGCTATGTAGTGGAACAAGGGCACCTTCTCGTTGGACACATCACAGAAGACAGTGGCACCATTCTCCCAGCTACCATTGACTGTCAAAAGTCCCGAGGAGAGGAGTAGAGCTTTCTGAGGGAAGGCTTTTTCCATGGGGGAAAAAGGAAATTTCTTGATCCTAGCTTCCAACTCTGTTAACACTATCAGTGGGAAGGAAGTGATAAAATATGGTGTTGCTCTCCATCATTAGAAGGCTGGGAGGTCTGTAGGGATTGGAATGTCAGTGTTACCTGCTTGGAAGAGACTTGAGTCCTCATATTTTATTCTGGCAAGTCCTTACTAACTCGTAATGGTGAAGCACAGCTACACGATCCCATTATACGAGTTACAGTGTTCTCACAAAGTTCACAATGAAAAGTGGCAAGGTAAAGAAATCATCTGAATTTGTTTGCCAGGGAATCCAGTTCAAGTTTCAATTAACTGGTTAAGAAAACCTCTCTTATCTTCCACAAGAGGTGAATACTTGAAAGATAAATCCCCTAGCACAAGATTTACTCAGAGCTGATCTCTGTCTCCTCCCATTACAGTTAATGGACTTGTAGCTTACTAGACTTTGGTGAGATCAGAATCTAAAAGAACATTGTATCCATTCTATAGCAGAAGAACAGTAGGCAGCTGCTAGAAAGACAATAGAAAAAAATAGACATCATGCATTTGTGATCTGTGCCCATTTCTAGGCATAAAGTTATAAATGGAAGCCAAAGATACTTGAGAACATTAAATTAAAAAAAATGAATTCCATTAAGTCAGAATATAGAGACTTTAATTGTGAAATTCTCCACTAAAACCATTTCATATTTAAATATATTTACAGTACATAAATGTAAATTATAATTACACACTAATGCATTTGAACAAAGACAATGAAGTTCTATTTTGTTTTTCACAAAATCCTAATATTATACAACTTCATGTTGTCATTTAGTATTTTCTCATACAAAGTGATCACAAATGTTATTTGTGTGTATGTGTGTGTGTGTGTGTGTGTGTGAGAGAGAGAGAGAGAGAGAGAGAGACAGAGAGAGAGAGAGAGAGAGAGAGAGAGAGAGAGAGAGAGAATTCTTTTATTGATACTTTATTGGACCTATAAAATGAAAGTTAGTCAGTTTTCAATATTTTGAGCAAAATAAGGACAGAGATTACAACTGAATAGTTAAAATCAAGTGCTTTAGAATAGAATAGGGACTTTTGTCTATCGGTTGGATAATTTTATATGTAAGCAAAGCCTAGAAAGAGTATGGCCTCCATAGATACATGGCATAAAAGCTGGGCATGATAATCCATGTTGATAATCTCAGCACTGACAATGAGGAGCTCAAGGCTAGCCTGGGATACATCAGAGAATTTGAAACAAAACAAAGTAACAACAAAAGAAAGTAAGGAAGGGAAGGAAGAAAGGGAGGGAGGGAGGGATGGAGGGAGGAAGGAAGGAAGGAAGGAAGGAAGGAAGGAAGGAAGGAAGGAAGGAAGGAAGGAAGGAAGGAAGGAAGGAAGGAAACTCTTACTTCCTTTGTTCTGTTATTTTAATTCCTCCATCTCTGATGTGTCCATGGTGGATCCTGAGTATCCTGGTTTGCAATCTCCTGTAATTCCCCAAAGACTCCTTCAAAAGATGTTAGATCTGAATTGCACTCTTTAGTTTAACAATACTATGCACATAACCCCCTGAACAGTCACAAAATTGGGATGTAACTAATGACCAGGAAAGGGACAGAAATGGCATAATTGTCACAGTAACTCTCATCTTCATTGATACCAAGAGGTCATGGACCTCAGTGTCACTCAGATAACAGTATTTTCCACTCCTCAGGTCAGAGAACCCTCCTGACCATGAACCTGGAAATGAGGTTAATTGCTGGGGAGGATGGCAGAGGGAGACTATCTAGGTTTTTGGGGTCTGACCATTACTTTACAACAATCATAAAGAAGAAAACTATACTCATACAGTACTGGCAGAAGCCACATTTAGAAATACAGAATTATCTTCATGATTTCACAAGACATCCCAGGTTAACCTTAGCCCATGTGATCTGACCCCATTGAACACCATTTTGTTTCTAAAATGTAAAGTGTGTGTTCTGAGTCCCCTTGGTGTGAGACCTGTCTCTATTCTTTCATTTCTCAGTACCCAGAAGCAATCTTCCCTTATTGACTATCAACAATCACAAAGTTTGGTGGTCTCTATGTCGTGGGAACATC